GCAATAAAAAAAATCAGTTCCCAAAATAAACAAAATGGTATTTTTTTGGTTTCTGAAACGAAATTAAGATTTAAATTTTTAATGGTCAAAAAGTAAAAACAAAAAGAAAATTGATAATATTAATATTCCCTGTTGCCACCTCTATCCCTTATGCAAGCTTTTATCCACGCTGGCATGCTTTTTATTAAATTATCAACGTTGTCTTGGGGTATGTTTTCCCATTCTGCTAATGCTGCAACAATAAGCTGTGCAAGATTTCCTGGATTGTTTCGACGAGCTCTAACCATTCTTTTAAGCTAGTCCCACAAGTGTTCGATAGGGTTTAGATCTGGTGAACATGCAGGCCAGTCCAAAACTATGACATCTTCCGTTTCAAGACATTCTCTAGTCTCTAGTCACTCTGCTGGTATGGGGAGGTACACTATCGTACAAGAAGTTAAAATTATCCCTAATTGCAGCTCTCCAAAGACTAACGATTGGTTCTAGCACTAAATCAACATATCTCCGACCCGTTAAAGTTTGTTGAAGTGGTAACAATGGATTGTTTGCTTCCAGTATAATACCTCCCCAGAATATTACAGTTCCTCCTTTATATCTTGGTACATATTTGGCAGCCTGAAGTCTCGCTCGTCTTCCTGGAGCTCTGAGAACCCGAATTCGATGGTTATCTGATCTTAGGCCAATTCTGGTTTCATCCGAAAAATGAACATTTTGCCAATTCTCAGTTGTCCAGTTTTGATGTTGAAGGCGTCAATTTAGCCAGTCAATTTTATTTTGCCGAGATAACTGTGGGATCCGTAACTCTCTCCTACGGTAAAACTCTCGACCACGAAGCCTTTTTCTTATAGTTTCAACTGAAGCGTTCACACTTGTAGCTGCCAGAAGTTGTCTTTGTAGCTCTGGATGAGAAACTTTGCGATTTATTCTAGCAATTTGGCGCACAATGCGGTCATATTGTTCAGCTGTGACTCTTTGACGACTTTGTCTGGTCATATTCTTGTGTGTTCCTAATTCCAAGTACCTTGCAAATGTGTTCGATACAATATCCTGGTAACGCCTACTATCTATGCTACGTCTCTTTGGAGCATTTCTTGTTCGGTGAGAGCAATAATTCTTCTCCTCTATACAACTGTTAATCCAACATAAGGCATTTTTTAATTTTTTTGGATCGAATGAAAATTACCAAACAATCGTGATTTTACTGCTTAACACAAAATTCAAAAGAAAATAAATCGCAGCAGTCGTTTATTCTTTATTATCATGTTTATTTAAAACAAAATGCCTTACCTTAAAGTTGTATACCAATTTTTATCCTTGCAAGAAATTTAGTCAGAAATAAAGAGTGATTCCATATAAGTTTGGTTGTGTATATTAATATGCCCTCTATCTCTCCAATCCATCAATTTCGATTGACATTATCTGTTTTGCACTTAGGAAGTACTTATATAGAGGTATCTTAGTACATTTTGTTTTCTAAATACTGAGAAACCTGGGAAAATATTAAGAAAATGAAAATATAAGTTTCTCCGTAATTACCACTTATTATGATTATGAACAAAGGGAGATGCAACTGATGTTACGAGATGAGTTATTCGACATAATAACATATAATTATCCAAATAAAAATGTATAACCAAACCTTGTTCTCACTTGTAGCTTAGATATTGGTGGAGATCAGGAGATGTACACACATATTATTTATATCTCTAGAAATGGTTAAATATACGAACTACATAGAACGCTAACTCTGTATTAGGCAATAAGGAAATTTAAGAAGGTTTTTAAGAGCGATATTGAAATACCCAACAAGAAAGGCGAACGCATAACGCATATCAGTGCATGTTACTAGGGATGACAGATGACTCAGAAACTCCCTTTACAACAGCAATCACTAGAAAAATAACAGTAGCTCAGAAAAATCTATATCCATTCTAAGTGTGGTCTTAACAGATCGTATGCAACGATATATGGACAAAACGGCTAATTAAATGACGATCCGAATGGGCAGACGAACTAGATAACATCAAAAGTTTATGCAATAACTGCAACAAACAGAGCAACTTCACAGGAAATAAAACAAATTAGAGCATACTAACAAAGTCTGTCATCATGATCATCATTTTCAGTTTATTCGACCATTTCCAATTATGATTTAGCCTCCCTCACATATTAAGATACTTTCTTTGTAGTTGGGCCCATTGTTGTCTATTGTTGGCTATGCGGGCACAAGTTATCCTCGCTAATTTCCTAATATCATGGTCCCATCTCAGGTTTCGTCTTCATATAATAGGTCTCTTAATTCCTCGTGGGTACCATGCTGTAATTTTTGTGGTCCATCTGTTGTCGGTCCTTCTTGCCAGGTGTCCTGGCCATTGCCCATTTGAGGTATTTAATTCTAACAAAGTCTATATTTGATACTAAGTCCATCGATTGATGCAGAAGACTGCTTGATGATAAAAAACAATAACGTACATTTTTTCATAGGAGGTGAACGTATTCTCCAAACCGATTAGTGCATGTGCATGGGTATATTAAAATTTTAGGTAAAATGCTATAAGGCAGGTGTATAAATAAAATCAGACTCACTATTCACCTAATAAAGGCCATATTATTCTAATATGATACGTCCTAAATTTCTAACTCAATCTCTTAAAAATCTATGTACTAAATAAAAAATCCTAAACTAATTAAGCCTGTCCAACGCGTCGGGGAAAATGTTGACCGACAAAATCCAAAAAATACAGAAAATAAAATTTACCTCTGAATTAAAATTACAGAAAACAACTGTCACTGTTAAGTTTACTATCATTGAACAGACTTTACAGTAAATTTTAAGTTTATACTAATAACTATTAAGGTGAAAAATGTAGTCTGTCCAGCGGGAGTATATATTATTATTACAATGACAGAGAGAGATAATGGTTGTTATTTTAATTAAAAAATTAATTGATTTTTCTTCAGATTTTGGAGGTTAAAAAGTCAAAATTCGTTCTCTCTATGGACAGACTTTACATATAAACTTGTAAATAGTGACAAATACTTTACAGGTAATTCTGTAAACCTTGACAGACAGTAAATATCACCGTTGCTACCGACTACATACAAACAAGCTCTCAGATAAAGTTTTTAGCTTTGTTATGATGTTTTCTATCTTATGTTTGATCTAATAATAGGTATATGCTTCAAACAGTATCACTTTCAAAATTTTCATTGTTAGTATTAATAACACACGCATTATTACATGAAAAACATCCCATTTTAAATAGCGTTATTTTCACGGCTTTATTTAAAAAAATCATATGACTATTAGAGAATTAAACATTAAGTAAACATTAGGTATGCTGTTTTGTATAACTCAGTTTCATATTAGGCTAGGAAAGACAAATTTTGTAGTCACATTTTGATCCTGTGACTTGTATGAGTAAAAACTATTGTGTAAACTGGAAACTCATGAATTCATGAAATTGGAACCCGCTAAGAAACTCATATAGAGATATCGAAAACATAGTTACAAATATTATAATGTACCGGTATCAATGAAATAACATACCTACATACCGGGTGGTGCATTGTCGTTGGAAACTCTTAGAAAATAGGAAATCCCATGCAATTTTTGAACTGTTCAGATATTGGCTCCCCTATTAATTTTACAGCAAAGTTGTAAATAGTTTTTTTAAAGGTGTGAGTATGCTGAATACCCATGCCAAATTTGGACAATTTTGGAGAAGGCGATTTTAAGTAATTTAAGAAAAACTGCACCCATTTTTAAATTAAAACTGACCAGGTAAAAATGCAAAACCAGGCAAATGTCAACGTACCTTAAGTTCATTAAGTTGTCATCCTATAATTTTGTCAATGTCAAATTGTATTTTCTAAACGTTAGGTTTTTGCCTCATTCGAACCAGTTTTAAATTACAAAAATACATTTCGTGGACACTTAGCTTAGGTACACAACAAATTACATTTGACAATGATAAAATTAAGTATAGGTTGATAACTTAGGGTATGTTGAAATTTGACTGGTTTTGCATTTTTAACAGTTTTAATTTAAATATAGATGCAATTTTTCTCAAATTACTTAAAATCGGATTTTGCAAAATTGTTCAAATTTGGCATATGTATTAGACAGACAGACCTTTGAAAACCCTATTTACAATTTAGTTGTAAAATTAATAGGGAACCAATATTTGGACAGTTCAAAATTTGCATGGGATTTCCTATGTTTCAAACCAAACCACACTGTATAATTTAGTTGTGTGTATATACTGTGTATCACATTATAAACAGTCGGTATTATTATATCGTCATAAATTGTTTTATTTGATTAATTACATTATATTTTTATATTTTGTTGCGAAAACTAATTATATTGTCTTCTCTTTTTTCTTTAAAAAAATGCCAGTTATGACAAAGTTTACAGAACTGTAAACTTTGGTTTATGATAAATAGTTAATATATCAGAAACACACATTAATAATTCCTTAGCATTATATGCATCTAGTTATAAATGACAACCGGCATTACCTATATCTATTACATTAATATGTATCTATATCTATTACATTAATATATATTAATATGTATCGAAACATCTTGAGATACAATAATTGTAAAATTAAAAAAAATATCAAGAATTTGTTTACATACCTTTTGTCTAATCAATAAGTAGGTACATCAATGTCTGCCACAGATAGTTTTGTGATATAATATTTTTAACATTGTATTATTTACTTATTATTAGACAAATTACCTAACATTCAATAACGATATCGAATATAAATTCAGATTAAACTGCCGTAGTCTAAATTGTTCTAATTGGTATCTAGGCACTTGAGAAACATTTATCTTCAGAACGTGAGTGAACGAGTCCGAAATTGCATATTTACTGCAAATATACAAACATGCATCGATATTAACAGAAACACAATAGCAGTAACATTAAACTACAGCCAAACTACAGCACAGAACTACAGAAAAATCTAAACGTAAACAAAACTAACCTCCTTGTTTCAAATTGTCAGTCTGGTCAATGGGTATGACGAGGAGCGGCAGCACACCACTGAGTCCGACAAGGATGGAACCAAACATGGCCCACAAGCTCGGTGTGTATTCGAGTCCTGTGAAGAATCCCGGAATTTCTGGCATTATAGGAACCGATAGTTCTTCCCGGAAAATATCTGTCGCGGTGTGATTGATATCCGACACGCATAGGACAACATCAGCGACCATTGTCATCGAATGTAAAGCACTGGGAGTAGAAATTTTGAAAAAAATCGTCGGCAGCGCGATGATCGTTCGCGATAACACACAAGTGGCCAAGATAAAAACTCTCGGAATTTGCCGACTAACCTACTCTGAGATTGAGCCGGTCAAATTATAAACTAATTCACTCGATTTAAGTCGCTTATTTTTGTACGCTCATAGTTACTGATAAAATTTGCGCTCCATGCTCGAATCGCAGTCGTCTCGTGTGTTTTTGACGTTCTCCCCACCAACTTTGCCCACGTTACTCCACCGGCAGGCATCTGTTTCCTATGGCGACGGCTGTTGCCGCCAACGGTTGGGGGCTTTTCTTTTGGAAAGGTAATTGAACGAGAGTTGTAAACAGAAATCGACAGCTGGATATTAAATTTAAAACGAAGAACTTGAATGAAGAATAGAAAGTCAGGTAAGTAGATAATAAATAATCAGGTGTCTATTTTGAATATTATATAGGGTGTTAAATAAACAGAAATGTTATAACCCCCCCCCCCCATAAACAGATATACCCGATGTTACATCGTCGGACGGGACATAGGAAATTCCATGTAAATTTTAATGGGGTCAATTATTGGCTTCCCTAATTATTTTACAGAATAATTCTATTTAGGTTTATTGAAGAGCACTAAAACCCACAGTTCAAAAGAATAACTTTAGATATTTTTGATTAGCTCGTTTACGAGTTATCGCCGATTTCTTTTTAAATATTTCTCCTTTCTTATGGCCCTGTATTTACTTATGAGCACCAGTCAAGGTAAAAGATAACAGTCAAATGAAGTTGTCATTTCAGAAATTTACCTATTTAGTGCTTTATTATTATTGAAAACCCATTCCTACATCGGAAATCTTTAAATATATATATATAAATACAAATTAATTTGAATTAAAGTAAAATAAAGTAATCAATTACAAGGTTAATTATAGTATTATTACAATATTCAACTTATTAAACTTATTAATTTAGGTACTATTAAATTGTTAGAACTTTAGGATTTAAGAAGATGTTTAAATATTCCTCCATCGACTGCTAGTCAATAACCCAGGCGATCATAAAATTCTCTTCTTACATTCGCTAGTTGGTAAACTGAAATTCTATTGCATTCGGCAGAAATAGCATTTTTTAACTCGTCTAGATTTGAGTACTTTTTATCCTTGTTTATCCTTGTATATCCTGTTTTTTAAATGGTCCCAGAGAAAAAAATCATTTGGCGAAATATCAGGACATCTTGCTGGCCAATTTACTGTATAATTTAGGTCAATAACGTTTCCGTTAAAACTATTGTCTAAATATTCCCGAACAGCCAGGGTACTAAATGCCGGGCAGCCATCCATTTGGTACCAAACTTCCTGATTTTCCCTAGCGGTATCATGTAAAGCAGGTAAAATATGATTTTTGAGTAGTTCCAAATAATATTCTGCATTTAAATTTCGCGTAAGAAATAATGGCTCGATAATATTGTGTCCGAATATCCCTGCCCAAACATTTACTTTCTGTGGATATTGCGTCCTTGTTTCGACAAACCTGTGTTGGTTTTCTTTGTTCCAATATCGATAATTTTGAACAGTAGGTTCATTATTTAAGGTAAACGTGCATTCGTCAGTCAAACATATGTTTTTTGAAAATTCCCTATCCGTGTTTGCTCTTTCCATAATATCAAAACAAAACACGGGAGACGAAAACGCCTGCCGCCGTATTTCGTCCCCATCTCGTAGCTCTTGGTGCTTTTCATATTTGAAGGAACAGTATTTATGTCGTTTCAAAATTCGAAACGCTGTAGTGTGATCTATTCTTATTTCATCCTCAAGTTTCCTTGTGCTGACCTTTCCATCGTTCCATTCCACGCACAATAAAACTTCCTAGTCGGTATCATTTCTTGCATCTTCTCTTTGTTTTTTTTTTAATTTATTAGGGTACCTTTGGTCTCAAATCTCTGGATATTCCTTGCGATTGTAGATTTTCCAGGTATCGGTCTATTCGGATACAGAGCAGCAGACATGTCCGACACCTTTTGATAACTATTTCCTTGATAATACCATTTAATCATCAATACTTTTTCTTCGGTAGTGTAATTCATGGCTAATATTTTCGATGTAGGTATGAGTTTTAATAATAATAATAAAGCACTAAATAGATAAATTTCTGAAATGACAACTTCATTTGACAGTTAACTTTTACCTTGACTGGTGCTCATAAGTAAATACAGGGCCATAAGAAAGGAGAAATATTTAAAAAGAAATCGGCGATAACTCGTAAACGGGCTAATCAAAAATATCTAAAGTTATTCTTTTGAATGTGGGTTTTAGTGCTCTTCAATAAACCTAAATAGAATTATTCTCTAAAATAATTAGGGAAGCCCATAATTGACCCCATTAAAATTTACATTGGATTTCCTATGTCCCGCTCGACGATGCAACACCCGGTATGAGATTTTTCCAATGAAAAAATGTTGAATACTTTGTATTTTTTAAAATTCTGTCTAAGTATATATTTTTTACATATTTATTTAGTTAATTATTTTTTTATAATCTTGTTATAAGTAATACAAGTTTTTCGAGCTGCAGGCTGCAGGTTCATTTAATTTATTTTTTCATACCATTTTTTGACATTGCAGCTACTAAAGGTATGCAATGATGTTCTACATAGTGATATAAAATTACTGGTAATTTATAAATCGGTAATATTACCGGTAATATTCCGTAATATTACGGTAACATTAGTAATTTATAAAAACTGTTTAACTGTTTAAAAAACAGCCTATAAAATAATATCATATTTTTTATTTCAAAACTGTAAAAACATCATAAAAAAAGACAAGAACGTTTTTTAAGCTAGTCAGAGTCAGAGTGGTCTATGTTATAACATATACAGGGTGTCCCAGAAATGAGTGCAGATATTTTAAGAGGTGGTAGATCTGGTCAAAATAAACATATTTTCTCTTTACCATTTTTAAAATAAATTGAAAATAACTGAGTTATTTAACTTTGAAAATTTAAAAAAATAATCGCAACATTTTGAGAACCGCCGGCAGATATTGCCAACTACATCCAATTACCCGATCAAGCCCGGATTTCAGTTAATTCGACGCACTGTGTTGCCATATGGACAAGAAAGTCTATGTTTACAAGTAAGTCATAAAATCACAACACCTGAGGAGTTTGCAGAGATGCATTACATTTTTAAGATTGTGATATTATTACATAAAATAAATTAAAAGTTAAATGTTTAAAAGTTAAATTAAAAAAACTTACCCAACATTAAAAAAGATACTTATGACAGATCGATGTATTAACTGAGACAGTTCTCTTTTGCGATACACACTTAACTAAATACACTTCATTGTGCTGCTTTACTTGTACGTGCTATTATAAAAACTGCTAAAATAACAGTCCCCATTTTTAACTTAACACATTATTTTCGTATAGGCTTCATCACAATTTGAACCACTGATTTACAAAACACCTTGAAAAGCACACATTACACATTACTTTGAATATCTTTCTGAATGGATAAATGTTGAGAATTATTGTCTTTTGCCGCCACTTTACGAACTACTTTCAATCTAAGAAAATACATGTTTCACTCAACAATTTTAAATACGTATTTTGCTTTTTCGCTATTTTTTCGATGTATTTCGACAATTCCGTCAACAGCTCAACCATCCGTCGGCCAAGACAGCCACGCATCACTGGTTGGTAACTGCTCACTGCTTCTTTGTCGCGCCGGCGTGTCGAGCTTGCGTCATGCGAGGTTGCCGTAGTTTCAACAATTTCAAATTCAAGACACTCGAAGCAATCAAATTCTTATTAAATTTTAAAAATAAAACAGAAAAACATGAAAGGAAACAAACAAAACACAAATGAATTGATTATTGATAAGGTCACAAAAAAGAAATTTCTAAATTGTTTATCGTAATTCAGAATTCAATGTATCGAAAACAGCCCGACGAATAATCAATTCATTTTCGTTTTGTTTGTTTCCTTTCATGTTTCTCTGTTTTATTTTTAAAATTTAATACAAATTTGATTGCTTCGAATCTCTTGAATTTGAAATTGTTGTAACTACGGCAACGTTGCTTAACATCGTCGTCTGACGCAAGCCTGCCACGACGGCGCGGCTCAAAGGACCAGTTCACACGTGGCACTCTTGGCCGACGCGCGACGGTCGGTCTGTCAAAATACATAAAATAAAATAGGTATTTAAAATTGTTGAGTGAAACATGTCTTAAATTGAAAGTAGTTCGTAAAGTGGCGATAAGAGACGGTATTCAAAGTAATGTGCGCTTTCAAGGTGTTTTGTAAATCAGTGGTTCAAATAAAACAGAGAAACATGAAAGAAAACAAATATTGAATTCTAAATTACGATAAACATTTTAGGAATTTCTTTTTGTGACCTGGTTGTGAATAATATGATGAATCATTTTCGTAAACGTCATAAACGTAATGTTTTAGTTAATTTTCGGTGGTTTTGTTAAGTTTTCATTGAAAGGGTAAGTACTAAAAATAATTAATGTGTTTTTTTCTATAATAATTATTAATAATGAGCACTGATGAAAATTTAACATTCTTAATTTTTGAGTAGAAATTTTTCTATGAATTTATAAATGTAGAACTATGTAGAATGTGGATAACATAGGAGGTTACAACACTGCATGGTTTAGTTACACCGTAGAGAAATCTCAGGTGAATAAACAAGTGGCACTAAAAAGTTTTTTCAAATTTCCCGGAAAATGTCAAGAAAAATTTTAAATTTTCAACATTTTTTTTTCGCAAAAAAAACCTCATAGGCGTGTTTCTGGGGTTGAACTATACTACCAGTTAAAATATCTGCACTTATTTCTGGGACACCCTGTATAGTACGTAATAGAGTGGATAATGGTAAATCATCCTCAATCTTGTCATATAGTTCTTCTTTCGCTTTCTTTGAGTCAATCCATTTCTTTCTCAGCAGTCTCTACCAACATTTCTCTTAAGCCCATTTTTTAAATTTAATTATTAATTTAATTAATTCTAATTATTTTTCTTTAAAATTAAATTTTATACTTTAGAAATTAATAGTTTAAGAGCAACAAATAACTTTCACTTTGCATATGAAGGGTCCATAAAAAAAACATTATAAGGGCCATTTTACTAATTTTATAGTAGAGCACTGGACGGCTAGCGGTTATCAGGTTATTTCCGTGTATTTTATATTTGAGTCCCCTAAATGCAAAACTCGGTA